GGAAGACATGGGGGTGGATTGGCCATACTCTGAGGAAACCATCAAGTGACATCACTAGACAAGCCATTGCTCGATTGGAACCCGAAAGGAAAGCGGCGAGTTGGTCGTCCAAGGGTGACTTGGAGGAGGTCATGCGAGGAGGAGATGCAAGTGTGTGGGCAGACTTGGAGAGGGGTGAAGAAGTTGGCAGAAAACCGAAGGCAATGGAGGTGCGCAGCTGAAGCCCTATATTCCTCTAGGAATAAATGGATATAATAATGATGTAATACGTAGCTTAAGGTAATGCGTCTTAGAACTAACTGGCGTATATTGACTGCATCTAAATATATTAAAAGTTCTAAACGGTCAAGTCATGTTTCTTATATACTCCGCTAATCAGTCTTATAAGTAATGAGTGTTCCATAAAAGCGTTTACCTTCATTTGCATACTTAACTCATAAACATTATGCCTGTTACTGACATCCCTTGCTTCAATTTCCATTATTCTGCCAAAAGCACTGAGTGGAATCAGGCTTTAATCAAAAATTAAAAATGTACATTTAAGGTTGATATGCTATGTAGAGGGTTCTGTGAAACACGCTACTATCATCATTAAAGCAAGGCGAACAGGCCAAGCAGGATAAAGTGGATATATATGTAAACCTTGGGCACTGCGGTAGTAAGTAATTCCATATTAGTTTGCTTATAATAATAATGTATTTCATATAAATTTACAAATTTACATGCAAATGCATGCCTTTCTAACAGGCACGATCAAGTATGATATAGTCTCAGATCGTAGATTGTCTACAGGTTAATAATGTTTCAACAGTTAAATATTTGATACATATAATACACTCATTTTCTGAACTAGGCTGTATAGTCAATGAATTGTACAGTTGTCCTCCAGGTTGAGGGGGAAAATCGACTTCGTTTCGTTTTCATCCCGTGGTTGTAGGCATACGATAACCAACCAATATTGAGGTAAGCACAACGTTTACAAGGGATTGGAAGCTGTTTTAGAAAAGTAAAAGTGCTAAGATGAATCAATAAAGTGTAATGAAATGGGTAAGTGCAAGTATCACTAATAAATGCATTAATAAAGGAAACTCCCTACACTGACAACGTCCATTTGCAATATATATTGCTACGCATATATCTCGTACTATCATGATGTCCACTTTTGGTTTTGATACATTTTTTCCTCATGCCGGTTTTTTTATATTGTATGCCTTTTTGTGCATCTGGTGCACAACCGTACCCTACAGAGAATAGGAATAGAATAAGTCAAAGCAAATTCATAAAAAGCTATAAAATGTTAGGTTTAATGGAGTAAAATGAGGATCAAGTAAAGACGTTATTAGAAAATGAATCCGATAAGACATTGTGAAGTGGTATTTAAAGATCCGACAATGGACAGCAAGTTAGTTTATAAGATGCCCCATAAATCTGTGCAGAGCCCAAGTCATGGTTTTCGGAAATAATTATACTGACGAACTTACTGAAGATTACAGTGAAGAGGAAACCAGTGATTTAGTTAAACGGCTACTGTGCAGTTAGTAGTTAAAACGTCTTTTTTAAAAGTAAAAGGTAGAAGAGTTTTGAGTACCGGAGCAAATTAAGTCATATTCTACTAAGTATAGTGCAGTGAATAGTGGTACGATTAGGGATAATGTTGGGCTGAATGAACTTGGGGAAATTGGTTGGTTGGTTGAGTATGTAGTGTTTACTATGCGAAATCCCATGAATGATTAAAGTAACAGTCTAATAATATTACACATCGTTAACTACGCTTAACCAGCATTAATCCCAGTTCACGTAGTATAGCGATGCATTCAAGAAGTCCATAAGAAATAGAAATTAAGAGTATACTAGACGTTTTATTAATTTACAGAATAATATTCGGATTAAGGGTAATAATGTTGATTTGACCGATTGACATTTCCGCTGATTTCATATTTTGAAACCTCCATATACCTAAAAAATAAAACACAACACGAAGTCATGAAAGGTAATTTCATACATTAGCATACAATATCAATACACTGATTCCATTAAAAATGCTAAATAAAATTCTCATGCAAATAGAAGTATTTGTAGTCCACAGCGGGTTTTGATATTGTCGGTGTATGAATAAATAGACCTCATATGTTTTTCGGTATTAGAAGATAATATGCGAATTTCAAGGCAAACTTCGAAACATGCGAACTGTCAAGGCGTCATTCTCTTATCAAGATTACTTGCAGATCAACTTCACACTAAATGCGTTAACATTAAAGGAAGTATTGCAAATGTGAAACTAATCAACAATCTCAATGATGTCTAGTGAACATGGTTTTGTGAATCCTACACAAATTACATTCTTATATTTAGGAAACTGTAGCTATCAAATATAAGCTGAGCATGCTTCAACTCTAAACAGCCATACACAGTGTTAACAACATAGAGAAACCCCGAAAATATTGTAAGATGTACAGGCCTGTTGTATTGATGAGGATAACAATGTCGTACAATGCAACCTTAGCATTCAATCGTGTTACCGCATCTGTGGTACTTCATGTAAATGGAAAATTCAGGAGAAATTCATCTCCAGTATTGGCGATCAAAAATATTGCAGAATTAATTATACAGTGTCAGTGGGAATGGTGTAATAATAATATATTTATTCTTATCTATGTAAGACACACCAGTTGTACAGGCATGGATAAGTAGATTGATAATAATAGAGCTGACTATACTAAATTCTCACAATGAACAGAAGCCATGTGTACAATAATACAATGCACTGAATCAACGCACTAATTGAAGCAGGGAGGAAAATGAAACGAGTAACTACCTTCTCCACTGCACCGCACTTGCAGCAATCATGAAATCCACCTGCATTTGTTAGACTAACAGTTAGCTAAACAGATTATGGTAAAATATTAAAAAAGCTGAGATATTTTCTATACAGTGAATCCACATAATCCATATTACACCGCATCGATCAGTGCTGATATGTATTAAATTCACTCAGAGACAACCACTCAACTTATGATTCCTGTCCAAACACATACGGTGGAAGACACATCTACATGATAACTTCTGTTTCCACAGAAGGTTCTGTTGGTATTTGTTAGTAATTTCCATTTACCGATAGCATTCATTTGTCAAATAATGATGTTTTTCCCACAGAAATATGCTTCATTGATATCCTGAGACGTAAAGTCTTCATCAAATTACATTATGCTGAAAGGTGCTGCTTCTACATAAAGTAGACTATTTGTGTGGATGACAGTACCCTTCAACTATCTCATCACGCTCTTTATGGCGACATTTTGACATAGTCTATCTGGAACACTAATCAATGCAACCAATATGCTAAGAGTGTGTTGCGGTCAGATCATATGATGCGGACACCAAGATGACTTGTCAGAAGATGAAAAGTCCTATCAATCCAGAAAACATATAACGCAATTTTATTTAGACTTGTTCACAAAAAAATTAGTCAAGCGAAATTTCAACCAACATGCCGGATAAGCCCATCCGTGATTTGTAGAGCTTTACTTGTCTATTGAATGATCAATGTCCTCCCGTTTGTCTCAAATATAGTTTTAACCGGAAGGCTGCTGCAGTATGACTAGCCACGCACAAGGACGATGAAAGCCTTAAAAACATCACTCTGTGCAGACGTCTTCACACCCATGTATTGTAGGGCATGAAATGATTTACCCTTATAAATCAGAACCTGCAACTCGACTGTACAGTCCAGAAATCGTCTACACAAACTATTACACTTTTGGGACAACAGAAACAATGGTATGCACTACTTGTCACCAGAACACGTAGCTGTAAATTGTTAGTTAATACTTGCGCATTTCTAAGCCCAAGGGAAGGTTACATGCAAAAGGAGATTTTTAATAAACCGAAGATATACATAGTGCGTTACTTATTGATTTTCAACATGAGCTGAACGAAGTCATCATTCTACACACTGAGTCAAAATAGGTAAAATTCAGCTGGTTTCGAAGAGCAGTAAAATAAGTGTTATGAGAATCTCGACGCCGTGAAATCATCCCAAAAACGAGATTATCACTGTGGTTCAACAATATACGCTCATTTTAAACTGGCAAGGGATTTCATCGGCCACCAAATGCACAAAAAGGCATAAAATATAAAAAAACCGGCATGAGGAAAAAAATGTATCAAAACCAAAAGTGGACATCATGATATTTCAAACTGTACAGGAAGCATTATACACTGCAAATGAACGTTGTCAGTGTAGGGAGTTTCCTTTATTAATGCATTTATTAGTGATACTTGCACTTACCCATTTCATTACACTTTATTGATTCATCTTAGCACTTTTACTTTTCTAAAACAGCTTCCAATCCCTTGTAAACGTTGTGCTTACCTCAATATTGGTTGGTTATCGTATGCCTACAACCACGGGATGAAAACGAAACGAAGTCGATTTTCCCCCTCAACCTGGAGGACAACTGTACAATTCATTGACTATACAGCCTAGTTCAGAAAATGAGTGTATTATATGTATCAAATATTTAACTGTTGAAACATTATTAACTTGTAGATAATCTAAGATTTGATATTATATCATATTTGACCGTGCCTGTAAGAAAGGCATGCATTTTCATGTAAATTTATATGTTTATATGAGAATATACATTATTATTATTATTCATCTAGGCTAGATTGTAATAAAATATAGGTAAACGAAGTTGTGTTACCTATGTATTCATATATATCTTTAGACCCACTCAGAACTACTGAAATCAAGAAAAGTACCCAGAATTATTGTTTGGAATGCAGATGTTGTAGCTAGGCATCCTGAAATTATCTTATTTACCACACGGCATTTGAAATACTGAAGTATGAAAAAAAGACATCAATTATGCTTGAAAGCTGCATTATTTTACCGCAAAATATAGGCGAATTTTAGAAACATTTTGAAAAGACCTTTTACAACATGAAATTTGGCATAGACATTACTTGTTTTAATTCATCAATATCTTTTAGTTAAAATCGTCAACTATATAAAAGCTGTTGTATGTTTCCATGTTTCATTTTCAAAAATGGGACTGAGCTGCGGATACAGATGCTTGCAAATCCTCCTGATCATATTCAACATTGGAGTTTTTGTAAGTTTGTTACTCATATTGTTATTTTAATAGATATGTGGCATTGGGCTCATTGGAGCAGGTGCATATGCACTCAGCTCCGTTGTTAATCACTGGAAAGAAGTAGAACGTCCTCTTCAATATCTCATAATCTTTGTCATCGTACTGGGATGCATTATTTTCCTACTCGGAGCACTAGGAATGTGTGGCGCATGCACGAAAAATGTTTGTCTTTTAACAACGGTAATTTCAAATAACTCCTTTCAGAGAGACACTTTTTTCTGTAGTATTGTATCCTCCTTGTGATTTTGATCATTGCCCAGATAGCTGCTGGAATAATCGCAATTATGCATAAGCCAAAGGTAATGATTAAAAATAGTTTAAACCCCTAAAGTATAGATTAAACATGAAATTTCTGATGCCTTGAGTTCACTTGTAAAACGCTTCAATACTGATGAAAATGTAAATATAGTCTTGAACGAAATTCAGCATAAGGTAAGGTGGATATTGTTTTTTTATCTTAAAAACTTAGTTGAGATGTTGCGGTGCCAAATCACACAGTGACTATGGAAATAAGCCACCAAGATCATGTTATGATGGTGAAGTGTTATTTGGAGAGGTAAGGTATTTTCAATTTTTGTTTTTTCTAAAGTAATAATTTTCACTGTTTACGACACAAATGAAAGTATTATTAAGTTACTAGAGTGAAAATGTCGCATTTTTATGAGCCTCACACTTCTATAGTGTTCATTTGATTAACTAACTTTGGTAAACACAAACGTTTGAACACTGGAAGCGCTCCCGTTTCGTGCGTTGTACCGCTTTGTCTAATCATTTTTCAATTCATATTAGTTTTTAAATCAGCATTTATTTAGTCGCGCGAAGTGAATATTTCAATTTATAAAATGAAACAAGTTCATGAAATAAACGCGTATAAGGTGAACCACAGAAATAACCATACAGAGAAGAGTCAGATGAACACATAGTTTGAAATAACCGGCTTGTAAGTAATTGTGCTCATTCTCAAGAGAATAGGTATTAACGAGATGGAATAGTGCTACAGGTGAGCAGTATGGATACTGTATAAAGCATTCGGATCTTATTATTTCAATTAGCTTTGAGTGGTACAGATTTACTGAAGAAAAGGAATTAAAACCCCTAAACTGTTGAATACAACTTACCTCCCCGTTCTGTTACTTCTTCTCGAAAATAAGTCGTGAGAATTGCGACCTAATATATATATATATAATTTTCACATGTCATCAATAAGTGGCAGTAAGATACCTTAACTGACTTCAAAATGTGAAAGGATAAAATAAGTAAAGCTTTCGCAAATAATTCTACGAGTAGCAGAATATTCTGATAAGCTATGCTGTGACCGGCTCCTTAGACTAAATGGGTTAAGAACCTAGACATAAGACAAACTGAAATATCTGCTTTCTGTTACAGATCAGGTGGTATACAGTGCAAGTGAGGGAACTCGGAAGTCACCCATTGCTCACCTCATCTAATTTTGTAATATAATACAACGGTTGCTTAACTGTTAGCTAAGTACAAGGGATCATTCACTTTCAATTAATTCTCTTTTCAGGGATGTGTTCAAAGGCTTAGTGAATTGGCTAAAAAGAATATGAATGCCATCATAGTATGCGTATTCGTTTTTGCATTCCTACAAGCAATCTGCCTAATATTCGCCATCTGTGTTCTTATGGCAATAAAACGAGGTGATGATGATTGAGTTCAAACAGCGAAGGTGGATATACAGCCTGTAAACAGCAAGTAAAGAGAGTGAGAAAGAGAACTTGAAATAAAGCAAAACATTAACGTATATAACTTGAATTATAATGCACCTTTCTAATTCATCTACATTGTTTATACTCTCCTTGGATTTACATTCTAAAAATCTTTCATACTAGAAAGTCTTTTTCAATAATCCGTGTAACATTACTAATTCTGTCTATATGTTTAATTACATAGCATTAAAACTTTGTTTATCTATGTGACTGTCTGTTTCTATCTTGAATGTATACTGAGATCTGTTGAAGTTTGAAATAAAAAATAAAATTGAAACCATCTTCCCGAGTGTTTCAACTGTCAGATTTACAACACAAATTGTTTATTAGAAGGTTAAACTGCATTCTGCTTTACTCAACCAAGTTTTACATCTATTTTCAGAGAAATGTTAGGGGTAGTTGATCAACGGAAGACTGAAGTGTGATTTCTAAATACCACAGCCAGTGAAGAGTAGTTATTTGCGTGAGTGAGGGAGACGATGAAAATCACGCACAGCAGTAGACACTGAAATCATATAGGTTACAATTAGAGCTGTGATTTCCTGCATAAAAGGGACTAATGAGATTTTCGAATCAATTAACACTCAGGTTCTGGTTTAGAATGGAAGGCTTCAGGTATAGGATGGTCATATGAGATATTCTGAACTAGTAAAAAGGGAGACAGAAGATAAATGAGGTCCACAGTCATTCAATGGAATTTTGAACATTGTGATTAGATCTGCTTTCTGTCTAATGCAGGAAAGAGGGAAGAGAACTAAACTGTTAAACCCTTTCTCGCATGATAGGTTAGCCGCTCTTTGAATTATATATTAGTCCCCAGTGAAATAAGCGCCCCTGTCTCTGAGCTGGAAACATATTTCGGTTGGCTTTGATTCACCACTGTCTTCGACATATCAGGAATTTGCTCATCTTTCTGAGCAAGCCATCCATTATTCCGAAATATTTATGAGCAATCCAGTATGCTGCCCTTTGTCGAGAGCTTTGTTGAAGTCTATGTAAATGATGTTGATGGATTTGACATTATCTTCAAAACTTGACTTATCTTTCTCTTACTGCTGGAAGGTCCGTTGGGTAGTAGAGATTTCCATAGAAACCATGATGTGCATCGGATAATAAGTTATTGTTTTCCACTTATGTCATGATAAACTCCTTTTCCAGTATTTTGAATTAGGCACTGGTAAGATATTTAGGCCCTTGGTTTGAACAAGAGCGCTTGAATTTTCCGTCATAGATAGGGACTTTTACTGTGCCATCCTAGTCACATGGCGACACCCTGTATAGCAGGCAGTACTTGAAGAGTTAGACCGGCTATGTGAATGAACCAATAGTCACTGTGCAAATCATTCGTAAAAATCGTATAGGTCCATTGATTTTACATATTTGAAATAGCTGGGGAGGATTAAAATACGAAGTCCAGGTAGATATAAACAAAATCTGTATCGTTTTCTCGTAACATGGCCGGGGTCAATATCATCATTGATGGTAATTAGTGTTTAGAAGCTCTACAGAAATCATCTGAGATAACTCCATCAGCTATTTCCTCAACGTACTTTGTTGTATTTATGCGAAAAGTCACTATGAATAACATGAAACAGGTCCTACTATCGATATTTGTGCGCGAAAATTTTCCCGTGGTTGCGTTTCGGTCTAAATGCAATTAGAATTTCATCCATGACTGATATGTCTGTTCAGTAGCTTTCTTTCTAGCTGTACTGCAAAGCTCTGCGCCTTCTGAAGTCCTGGGAGAGATAGATACATGCAAGACATATTGTTCACTCTTCAATGGTTCAAGAATCTCCTGATTTATCCGTCCGGAGTAATGCTTTTCACCCTCATAAGCAGTTTTCCGGATTTAAGCTTGGGTTGCATAGGTGTAAAGTTGAATGAACTGAATCAGCACAGCACATACATCGGCTTTCAAACCTGCAGCCAAAACCTCTGATGAGGTTAAAGAAATAACAGCATTTATGTCAGCTTTCCACATATTTTATCAAGCAAGAGTACGAGACCCGGATACAACTGCAGCTGTGAACATCGTCCTCGCTTCTATCCAGGACAACGGAGGTGTCCAATGAAGTCCACAATGTTACTGTGGAACACAGAAAATCTCTAGCTTGAGGAAGTGTTGGGGGTCATAACATCATGATGACTTGACATAAAAGGACTAGGGCCAATGACATGAAAGTTTTGATCGGCTTATGATGAGAAGAACTACCTGAGAATGGCGTTAAAATATTCTTCTGGTCAACTGATGTGGAGCTGATTTAGACATGAGAAAGACATCTGTTTTTATTTGTCATCGTGATTACAGCATATTACAGATTCCATCTGTGTCCAATCGCCCGCCTTTCAGCCCACAGCATATAAATTTGCGTGTTGCAACTTCATTTTTGCAAGGATTGGTCACTGACCGTAAGAATTATTCTGTATGTCCTATGTACTGTGCAGTTTTCCAGGTTAACATTCCCGTCGATGATATCAGGTGTTAGCTGCTATTGTGCAATGATATTAACACCCAAATATTCTGAGTCAGCTAGACTATCCAGCCTACTTCATATGTCCCAGAAGATTTCGGGTCTCACCATAGCATACCGTTTGTCAGGCTCGATGCATTCATGATATATATCCATACAATACGTGTGTTTGTTGACATGTCTGCTATATTTTGCTACGTATATTTGGATCGATACTCCATTAAAATTGACCATTCATGTTAAGACTGTCTATTGATTGTTCACACACTTGTTTGGACATTCATATATATTTTGCTCTCACACTATTGTGTGATATATTGATTCTCCTTGTGTTTGGAATATAGAAGTATCATCGCAAACCTAGTGGTCTTCTGATTTCCGTCTTTCTTGCGTCAGGACTATTAAATTCTTGACCAGCACATAACAATAATTTGGCGACGAGTACATAACTATTCACTGTCCACATTCAGAGGTGTGATAAACAGCAAACTTCGAACATTAACTTACTGGAAATAAATAAGTATAAGTGACTTCTCCTCAATATGTCATGGTTCACCCCACTTTAGCTCATCAGACTACCTCTTCATGCGGTCTGCGTGAAAGTAAATGACAGATTCCTTTGAAGTGTAAGCACCACTCAAAATGAAAACTTCGTGTCTGCTGCTTCTGCTAAGGTTTTGAAATAATGTCACATCAGGACAACTGTTTGACAGTCGCCATTCTTAAGGCCAACAAAGAGATGTTGCCTTGGAAAAGGCTAACAGCTACTGATTAAACTAAACCGAATTACCACAGTGCAAAAGAGAAGTTTCACCAAGGGGACAATACATAACTGGGAACCCAAAATATTGAAAACAAACAGTGAACCCAAAGTTAATTCCAAAATCTAGAGGAAAAAACACTCACTTCACCAAGAATAATTGAGGCTAACGTTTATCTCCAGGATATTTTGTGTTCAAAATTAAGCAAGAAGGTGTAGAAATTCATCCAGTTCTCAAAGTTTGCATTGTATGGTTTTAATTCATGGAAAATTTTCATTGTAACATACAGAAAATCAAAACATTTGATTTAGCTAAGAGACTCTTTTCAACAACGAATTTATTATCAAGCTGTACAATCGTACATATATATATATATATCCCACTGTTGACCAGCCCTGTGTACGTTTATCAATTCGCCTGCTGGTGTGGATCTAGGTATATCGGTCGTCTGACTCAAGTTGTGTTTAAGAGGGTGCAAGAACACTATCCTGTATGGTAGTTACGAAGAGATGAAAGTGGAGCAATAAGAAGCGCGATCAGTGAAAATCTGGTTGATAATGATCACCCTATCTCTGTAGCCTCCACCTTTAAAGTCGTCGACAAGGCAAAAAGTAATTTACCGAAATCACTATGTACACGACTCATCTGTATTGCTGAAGCCGTCTTTGGCTATCGAAACAGAAAAGCAAGATCTCTGTTTACACAGAAAAAGTACTTTCAACCACTCCAACTTTCGTGGTCTTAATCCCTCTATGCTAAAGTATGGTAATTCCCTGATAATACTTTGACTCTACCAATTTTTCATTTTGTCTATTCACTTTGTATACTCTTACTGTATTACGTCAGCTGTTACTATTACTATTCTCACTTTCAACTGTCTTCGGTATCATTTCACTCATCCCGATTGTCATTGTAGATCAATTCTGTTTCGCTACGTTAAATTCTATACCATCGAATTTTACACAGTATTACAAAACCTTTTTTATTTTATTCGATTTGCCAACATTTCTATAATTGCATACCCTTTCCAAGTTCTATCCATCCCGCGAATTATTCTATATATGACACGAAATGTTTTGCCACTTGACATTTAACTATGATTATAATCACAAATATTTTAATTGCATTTCATACTACCACTATTGTTATTTTAAGCATTCTCACCTGTGATTCAATTCCCTCGCTCACCGGATATAACTTCTTAACAGCCACCTGTATATACGATTGTACAGCTTGGTAATAAATTCATTGTTGAAAAGATTCTTGTATGATAAGCAGTAAGACTTCAATAATACTTGTCATATGATTGATGCAACGAAGATACACAAATAACATCTTGATTAATGAACACCTAACTGACTTGTAGTGAGTGTATTCAAGTTACTTACTAGATGTTCTATGTCTCACTGATTCTCTAATTATGTGTAGCCGAAAATCTAGCTGTCTTTATATGAGCAGAGATCTAAGGTATGCATTGAAAAATAATTTCCATACATTTGGTTCCCTTCATGTGTTTAAATAATGAGAGGAAGAAATAAAGAACGAAAGACGAAACTGGCAGTATAAAATGTGATACCATCATCCCATCTCACACATCCTCATCCGAAATTACAATGGCTATAAAGGAATACCATTGTCATCCTTCAGTGTTTGAATAGTGGCAAAGAAAACATCATAAAATCAACGTATCCGAAATATAATATATAATTGTTTCCTTTAGTTCCTAGAGGATCATATGACTTCAGCCAAACGTCTCAATTGTCTTCGATTCTTTGCAGGAGTTTTCACCTTACTCCACATCTACACACATACTTCCATCTCCTCTTCGAATCACCGCCTCCTCCGTGTCACCACGCCATCGCACTGACGATCAAAACGCCGATTCCTATTTGGATTCCAATCGGAACTAAAGGAAACAATTATATAATATATTTCGGATACGTTGATTTTATAATGTTTCCTTTGCCACTAATCAAATATTGAAGGATGTCAACGGTATTCCTTTATCGTCATTGTAATTTCAGACGAGGATGTGTAAAATAGAATGATGACATCACATTTTATACTACCAGTCTCGTCCTTCTTTCTTTATTTCTTCCCTTCGTCATTTAAACACATGAAGGGAACTAAATGTATGGAAAATGTTTTTCAGTGTATAGCTTAGATCTCTGCTCATATAAAGACAGCTAGATTTTCGGCTACACATAATTAGAGAAACAGTAGACTGTTACACTGACCGAATTTAACTCTGTTGATATCGTAAGAGGACAAATCACATGTGACTGAATCACCCCACGCATGGAGGTGTTCATGAAACGAAGACTTCGTCATGCGATGCTCACACTTCACCAACCAGACTGGATAATATTCAGAAACGCATTTCTTCAGAGAACGCTAACAAAGTCCACTGCACTCATCTCTAATGAAGCATATTCAGAGACAGAGGGAGAGGTAAGGAGAGTGTAAATGTCGAATACGAATTTCCAACTTCTTCCTTTTCCATGTTCATTTCTGGTTTACTAGTATTCAACCAACACACATTGCAACATCTTTCGACAATGTGGATCTCATTCGTAGCATAAACATATCAATCAACTTATAGTCAACCCAAGGATCATAGGATTACGAGATTGATACTTCGTTGTTTAGCTAATGAGTTGAAATCCATGTGGTTGTGAGTTCCGACATGCACCAGTCTGAGACATAAAGGCGTCTCTTTTTCAATCTAACTCACAGCTAACCTTTATCTTACCCACCGTAATGGAAGTCATCACTCGCAACATCTTATTAGAAATCGATAGAGTGCACCTGAAAATTCAGTCACTACTTTTTTTAAAATTTTTGATTATAGCTTGATTTTACACAGTGTTATTGGCACAAGTATGGAATTTTCAACATATGACATCGATATGACATACTAACTTATTAAATAGTCAGTAGAACAACTGGATCTCGTCTTTCCAACTCATATCATTTATAGGTACAACGTTTTCTTTCTTTCTTTTCTCCTTACTAACTCTATCAAAACATTCTTCGTTGTCTCACACTCTGTTTATCTCGACCTTTTGTTACCACTTATGCTAGTAAATATGCTAGCATCTACTTTTCTAACACTTTCAAACACTCTGTTCAATTTTGGCTTTGCTACCGACGTGCCAATATGTTGTTGTCCTAATGAACTGAGATTATCTTAATCTATATAGAATTTCATTTATTGATAATATGCTGACTGGATGCAATACTGTAGTAAAATGCTGAGAATTCCATTCTGTATCACAATTACTGTTTTGGAATAAAGCAAATTATTGTTGTTATTATTATTAGCCCAAATTTAGCAAGAGATCTAATCACGATGTTCGAAATTCCGATGAATCACTGTGGACCTAATCTATCTTCTGTCTTCCTTTTGCACCAGATCACAAAATATCAGAGGAACAACGTACACTTGAAGCCTTTCATTCTCAGCTAGTTTGACACGCTTATTAGTTCCCTTCATATAAGAAACAACATCTCTCATTGTCACCTAAATGATTTCAGCGTCTACTACTGTACGTGATTACAAGTAGCTACTCTTCACTGGCTGTGGAATTTAGTAATCATACTGCAGTCTTCCATTGATCAACCATCCCTACCTTTTCTCCGAAAATAAATGTACAACTAAGTTGACTAATGTTTTGACATCTAGTATGCGCAAAGAAGAATGCAGTTTTATCTTCTAATAAATAATTTGTGTTGTAAATTTGACAGTTGAAACACTCGAGAAGATGGTTTCAATTTTATTTTTTTTATTTCAAAATTCAACAGCTCCCAGGATACATTCAAGATAGGAAAAGAAGACAATCACATAGGTAAACAAAGTGTTGTAATGTTACACGGATTATTGAAGAAGATTTGGGAGTGTAAATCCAAGGAGAATGTGGACAGTGTAGATGAATTAGAAAAGTGCATTATAATTCAAATTATATACGTTAATATTTTACTTCAATGGCTGCTGTTTGAACTCAATCGTCTTGTCTTATGGCTACAATAGCACAGATTGCGAATAATAGACAGATTGTTTGAAAGAATGCAAAAAGGAATACACAGATTGTAATTGTATTCATATTCTTTTTAGCCAATTCACTGAGCTTTTCAACACATCCCTGGAAAAAAAGAGAAGTATTTGAAAGAGAATTAGCAGTTTTAGGTTGCCAACCAGAAAGCCATCGTTGTATTATATTGAAAACATATGATCTAGTGAGTGTTGTGCAAATTTTGCAAAAATCTCTTACTTTATACCAGTAGATTAATTGCTTTCGTATATGACTAAAAGCAGAGATTTCAATTCCCTTCACGCTGATGTTCCTGACCCACTTAGTTTGAAGAATTGATCACATCACCGAGCTTATCAAAATATTCGACTACTTTTAAGTAGTAATATTCAAAAATTTTATGTATGAATATTTTAAGTTAAAAGGACAGAGTTTTCTGGAGTTCTAATGAGAAGTTGTGATCACTGAAGTCCATTCAATCAAGTGTGAGGATAGATGTCCCACCGATGTCATTGGTTGGTTTCAGTCGCGCTAAATGCATCACGAATTGGTAGAAGTTAGAATTCAGGGGCTAGGCATTGAATCGGGTACCTGTGGCTGAATGGTATACGAGCTAGCTCGCCTTGTAACTGGAAGGTCCTGTGTTGAAACCCCTTGTGGTGGGTGAGTACTGCCGATGATTTCCAAACTAGTGGAATGAAACAGCTATCCAGTACTCGTAAACTCATAAAAACAAATCTAATCCTTACAAACCAACTCTTGAAGAGTGTCAGAATCTATTTTTCAGGGTGAATCAACAGGACAGTGAGACTTCTGTGGGTTTTAATTTCGTTTCCTTACTAAGTGTGGACTGATCAAAGCTATGCATATTAATATCAGTCTACATAGGGAGGACTCATTGATCTCTACGATTAAAGGCTGGCTTCAGGGCATATTCCTAAATGACTTCACTCCAGAAGCAAATGGAATCCCCAGAATCCATTAATGGTGAGAACAGGAGACCTAGCTCCTCTATTGCGAAACATATTATAGAGATGGGACATAAAATTGATGTTTACACATCTTTTAAACCTATCTATAGAAAGTGTTTAGGGCGCATCCTAAAGTTTGTGGAAGCCCAAGATGGCAATTACAAAGTTGGAATCACCTTTCTACGTTCTAAGCAGCAATTGGTCATCACACTAAACCTTCTTTGGTAAACTTTGTTTTGATATTAGTCAGGGTAGTTGTACTAATACCTTTGCTATTTGGTTTGATGATCTTCATTGCTATTTTGATCTAAGAAGTCTATTTTCTCACCTTTTAACTCTTTATTAAGTTCATATATGTCGTTCCTATGACAAGCTCGTGTGTGTGTGTGTGATCAGATTGTTCGAAACGTGTTGCACAAATACAACATAACACACACGATTCAGATAAATTACATCTTCTTATTGCTTATTATCTAAATTCATAAAGGGAACTAATTGTTTTAAAACACAACAGTCAAGGTGTTTAATAAAGTTTTTCTTATTGCTAATCTATATGACTATTTCATGTGTCACTATCGCCGCTTCTCTTGAGAATGAGCACAAATATACTTAAAATGTGCTCATCTCAAAAAATTTAGGTTCATTTTAATTTGTATGTTAGATATATCACACATAGTGAGATATTAATATTTACTGGATGACAAGGATTCGAGCACAATCTGTTGTAGTTCTTAATCATATCAATTATAATCACACAAATTAAAATCGCACAAGTTGTACAGACTGCTTTATTCTTTCCTAATCACCATCAAAGATTGGATAGTCACTTAAAATAGGCTTCAAGTACTGGGGATTAGTGAAATAATTAAGTAATAGAGTACGAAAACTAAATAGTACTAAGGAAAATCAAAGACAGGAAGTGCAGCATATAAGAGAAGCTTTGAAATTTAATAACTACTCTGATAAATTAGTCAGGAAGTATGTAAGGAAATGTAAAAAATAGAATTAATAATAATAATAATACTATTAATGATGATATTAATAATATTAATGACGACATGCATGTCGAACATGCGCAAGGTAATGACAACACCAACAATAAGAATTCCTCCATACGAAGAAGGAATCTTAGAAACCTTATTCTGGTGAATTAATACCAATGGAGGCAGGAATAAAAGTGGCTGGAATTCAAACCACCCACAAAGTCAATTAGAAACAAGATCAATCAAAGATCAATCCTCTGGTGCCTTTAAAACAAAACGATTTAGTTTATCTAATACCCCATCTGCAATGATTGTCAGATTAAATACATGAGTCAACCTGGTGCAGTAGAGTCAGTTAAATTTACGGAGCACAAACACTTAGCAGCAAAGTCTAGATAAGTTGACTCGAATGAGATAAGAAATCTGGAGAATAGTTTGGCTATAGATAGCACTACATGCAATTACACAGACACAGACACACACACACCATACAGTAGGATGGATGAAATAAGATGACAGTTTTAAAGTCTAATGTAACACGGTGGAGAGTGGGAGAGATTGTTAACTAACTGGGGCTTTATTTATCGAATCAACTGAATGAAAGTACGTGTAATAGAAATTGTTCAACATCTGTCCAGCGGCATATCTGGAAAATTCTACTACCCCCATGACGACAAATAGGAAAGAATAAAGAAGACTATAAAACTCAAGTTCCAAGGTTGTGTGAATGATATAATTGATATGATTATGAACAATAATAAATTGTGTTCGAAACCTTGTCAACCAATAGACAGTGATACTGTTTCACTGTGTGTATGTGTGTGATATATCTAGTAAACAAATTTATATGGAATTACATACACTACCACAATGCCCAAGTTTTACACATACGTAATATGTTCATTTGACTCATATACGTCTATTCATTTCTGCTGTTCACCTTATACGAGTTTTCAAGCCCACAGGGAGTAATGAACAGCTGTTTCATCAGCCTAGTTTGAGAATCATCGGCGGTATGTATTCACCACAGGAGGTTAGGACCCAGGATCTTACAGCTACAAAGTAAACTTGCTCGTGTACCATTCAACCACTGCGACCAGACTTCTCAACGGCCGTTCCATGAATTCTAACTTCTACCAATTGGTGATTTAACGCGACTGGCATCAACCAACCAATGTCGTCAGTGGGACATCCATCCTCACACATGACTGGTTGGACCTCTCTAGAACTCCAGAAATCTCTCTGTCCTATAGCCAGTCACTCACTAGCAAGTATCAGATCAATTTTCAATAGTTGGTTTATAAGGATTATTTCTGTTTTGTTAAACAAGTTTATTTCACGAAGTGATTTTATTTTAGAATTCAAAGTATTCCCTTCGGACAACTGAACAACTGATGGTTTTAAAAGTAATGTGAAAGTAGCATAACGCACTAAGTGACAGCGCTTCGAGTATTTCGATCATTCCATATTTACCAAACTTATTTCCTTATATGACTAATGAAAACAGAAATTGTAGATTCGTAAGAATACGAAGCGTCTAGAGGTTACTCAGTTATTCACACTTTTATATGCATCATAAATAATGAAAATGAGTAATTTATAAAAAAAAATAAAATAAAATAATAAAATAAAAGAATATACCTTACCTTTTTAAATAACTTGTCACCATCATAACATGAGTTCGGCGTTGTTTCATAGTCAGAGGATGATCTGGCACCGCAACATTTCAACTAAGTTACCAAGCATAAAAGCTAACATTCAACTTACCTTCTGTTGAATTTCATCCACGACCGCTTTTACACGACTATCAGAATAAAAGCGTCTTATAAGTGCTCTCAAAGTATCAGTAATTTTTTGTTTAGCCTATTATAATTTAGAGGTTTACACTATTGTTTTTTTTTTTCTATTTTAAAAATCATTACCTTTGGCTTATGTATCACTGCAATTGTTCCTGCTGTTATCTGGCATATAATTAAGATCACAAGGAGAACACAATACTACAAGGGTGGGGTGGGGTGGGGTGGGGTGAGGAAAATAGTGTCTCTCTGAAAAGAGTTATACGGAATTACCGTTGCTAACAGACAAACACTTTTTGTACATGCACCAAGTAGGCCTATTGCTCCAAGAATCAGAATTATGCATCCAAGTGTAATGACAAAAATAATCAGGTATTGAAGTGGAGGTTCTACATCTTTCCAATGATTAACCACAGAATTCAAGGCATAGGATCCAGCTGAAATGAGTACAATACCACAGATCTATTCATATAAGAAATAATAAAAAAATATCTATAGCAAAACTTACAAAAACGCCAATATTCAATATAACAAGTAATATCTGTAAACATCTGAATCCAAAGCCTAATCCCATTGTTAAAAATGAAATATACAAAATTATACAATAGCCTATATATATATATACATGTGGTAGACAAGATATTGATAAGTTAAAACAAGTAACGTTTATATTTACACTAAAATTTCATGTCATGAAAGATTGGCTTGAACTGTTTCTAGCATCCATCTGTGTTGTATGGTAAAATGCTGAGGTTGTGAAACATAATTGATGTCTTTTTTCTTGTATATTGTTGTATTTCAAATTTTGTGTCGTAAATTAGATAATTTTAAAGATACTTAGTTACGACATGTGTGTTACAAGCATAAATTTTAAGGTGGTTTAATTGATTTTTAAAGTGTGAAAAGGATCGAAAGATATATATATATATATATCTACATATGTAATATAACTTTAATAGTGTGAAATATTCCCATATCATGAATTAAAAGTCAATCTGAACGAGGAATATTCTTTCCAGTAATTTCTCCTCTTCAGGTTCTTACAATTATAAAATACAAAATATTTGTTGTCGTTACAATAAAGGCCAGTTATGAGACGGATACATTATTTTCAAAGTAGAATAACAGATCAGCAGTTATGGGGTGTCAAAATAAATAGTCGTATTTGTGTGTGTGACAAACGTGCTTTGGGCTGAAATCGATTACAAAATATTGTGAAATGGGAGACAATGATGATGGTGATTAATCATAATAGATTTCTAGAGTGTGAGGTAGGAAAACTGACAAGTTAGATCAAGGTTTTAAAAGGTGTCAGGTGAGTGAGTGACTAGTACAAAGTGATCTGTGTTAAACAGGAGATAGTAAGACTGCAATGAGAGGTGGTTCTTAATGAAATAACGAATATGTGAAATGAAACAGTTGGAGGTATATATTGAGAAAAGAGATAATATCACCAATGATAATAAGTCCGGAGAGTATAAATGAAAAATTCGATAGTATTGAGGGAATGTTTGCATGAAGGGCATAAATTATGACGAGTAATAACAATCATGATTGTAATAATAAACAAAGGAGAAAAAAACCAAGAGGGTTAAGGAGAAGGAGCATTCTAGGTGAGAAGAAGAATCATCAATCCAAGTTTGGCCACGGTAAGACCAGCGTCTGGACGTGTTCTTTTTGGATACAAAGTTTCAGTTTAGTCGATCTTATTGCAACAGCTTCAGATATGTGTACGAGACATAAGCGAAATATACGTGATAACGGCTTCGGAATTCGGTGTATAACCCTGAAAGCTGTGTTGACATCGATGCTATATCCCGTATTGACCAAGTGTGACAGGATAGAGCTTTTTATGCCCTTAATTTCCCCCCTGCTGAACCAAGCTGGTAGATGTTCTCGAACCCGTAGACAAGCGCGCCTAATCGTGCGCCCTATATAGCTTGAACCACGGAGACAGTTGAAATGGTATATGCACTCTAGAAATGTATTATGACTAATCACCATCATCATTGTCTCCCATTTCACAATATTTTGTAATCGATTTCAGCCCAAAGCACGTTTGTCACACACACACACACACAAATACGACTATTTATTTTGACACCCCATAACTGCTGATCTGTTATTCTACTTTGAAAATAATGTATCCGTCTCATAACTGGCCTTTATTGTAACGACAACAAATATTTTGTATTTTATAATTGTAAGAATCTGAAGAGGAGAAATTACTGGAAAGAATATTCCTCGTTCAGATCGACTTTTAATTCATAATATAACTTTGTTAACTTATCTCTTATTATAATCTGGTCTAGATGAATAGATAAGTAAAGACCTGTTCCAGTATAACATGAGCAAATATAGATGAATGGAAATAACAACCTTCTTTTCGGGCGAGTCTTTTAAATTTCTAACAAGATATTGTCAGTGATGACTTCAATTACGGTGGGTAAGATAAAGGTTAGCTGTGAGTTAGATTGAAAAAGAGACGCCTTTATGTCTCAGACTGGTGCATGTCGGAACTCACAACCACATGGATTCCAACTCATTAGCTAAATAACGAAGTATCTATCTCGTAATCCTATGATCCTTGGTTTGACTATAAGTTGATTGATATGTTTATGCTACGAATGAGATCCACATTGTCTAAAGATGATGTAATCTGTGTTGGTTGAATAATAGTAAACCAGAAACGAATATGGAAAAGGAAGAAGTTGGAAATTCGTATTCGACATTTACACTCTCCTTACCTCTCCCTCTGTCTCTGAATATGCTTCATTAGAGATGAGTGCAGTGGACTTTGTAAGCGTGCTCTGAAGAATTGCGTTTCTGAATATTATCCAGTCTGGTTGTTGAAAATGTGAGCATAGGGTTACGACGTCTTCAATGTGTGAACACCTACATGCGTGGGGTGATTCAGTTACATGTGATTTGTCCTCTTACGATATCAACAGAGTTAAATTCGGTCAGTGTAACAGTCTACTGTTTCTCTAATTATGTGTAGCCGAAAATCTAGCTGTCTTTATATGAGCAGAGATCTAAGGTATGCATTGAAAAACATTTTCCATTCATTTGGTTCCCTTCATATGTTTCAATGACGAAGGGAAGAAATAAAGAAAGAAGGACGAGACTGGTAGTATAAAATGTGATGTCATCATTCTATTTTACACATCCTCGTCTGAAATTACAATGACGATAAAGGAATACCGTTGACATCCTTCAATATTTGATTAGTGGCAAAGGAAACATTATAAAATCAACGTTTCCGAAATATATTATATAATTGTTTCCTTTAGTTCTGATTGGAACCCAAAGAGGAATCGGCGTTGTGATCGTCAGTGCGATGGTGTGGTGACACGGAGGAGGCGGTGATTCGAAGAGGAGATGGAAGTATGTGTGTAGATGTGGAGTAAGGTGAAAACTCTTGCAGAGAATCGAAGACAATTGAGATGTTTGGCTGAAGTCGTATGATCCTCTAGGAACTAAAGGAAACAATTATATATTATATTTCGGATACGTTGATTTTATGATGTTTTCTTTGCCACTATTCAAACACTGAAGGATGACAATGGTATTCCTTTATAGCCATTGTAATTTCGGATGAGGATGTGTGAGATGGGATGATGGTATCACATTTTATACTGCCAGTTTCGTCTTTCGTTCTTTATTTCTTCCTCTCATTATTTAAACACATGAAGGGAACCAAATGCATGGAAATTATTTTTCAATGCATACCTTAGATCTCTGCTCATATAAAGACAGCTAGATTTTCGGCTACACATAATTAGAGAATCAGTGAGACATAGAACATCTAGTAAGTAACTTGAATACACTCACTACAAGTCAGTTAGGTGTTCATTAATCAAGATGTTATTTGTGTATCTTCGTTGCATCAATCATATGACAAGTATTATTGAAGTCTTACTGCTTATCATACAAGAATCTTTTCAACAATGAATTTATTATCAAGCTGTACAATCGTATATACAGGTGGCTGTTAAGAAGTTATATCCGGTGAGCGAGGGAATTGAATCACAGGTGAGAATGCTTAAAATAATAATAGTGGTAGTATGAAATGCAATTAAAATATTTGTGATTATAATCATAGTTAAATGTCAAGTGGCAAAACATTTCGTGTCATATATAGAATAATTCGCGGGATGGATAGAACTTGGAAAGGGTATGCAATTATAGAAATGTTGGCAAATCGAATAAAATAAAAAAGGTTTTGTAATACTGTGTAAAATTTGATGGTATAGAATTTAACATAGCAAAACAGAATTGATTTAGAATGACAAGTGGAACAAGTGAAATAATACTGGGGACAGTTCAGAGTGAGGGTAGTAATGGTAACAATTGACGTCATAAGGAAGAGAATACAAACTGAATAGACAAAATGAAAAATTGGTAGAGCCAAAATATGATTGGGGATTACCATAGTCTAGCATAGAGGGATTAAGACCACGGAAGTTGGATGGGTTGAACGAACTTTTCCTCTCTACACAGAGATCTGGCTTCTCTGTTTCGATAGCCAAAGACGGCTTCAGTAATACAGATGAGTCGCTTGTCGATGACTTTGAAGGCGGAGGCTATAGAGATGGGGGCATCGTTATCAACCAGATTTTCACTGATCACGCTTCTTATTGCTCCACTTCCATCTCTTCGTAACTACCATACAGGATAGTGTTCTCGCACCCTCTTAGATACAAATTGAGTCGAACGACCGATATACCTAGATCCACACCAGCAGGCGAATTGATAAACTTGCACAGGGCTGGTCAACAGTGGGATATATATATATATATATATGTACGATTGTACAGCTTGATAATAAATTCGTTGAAAAGAGTCTCTTAGCTGAATCAAATGTTTTGATTTTCTGTATGTTACAATGAAAAGTTTCCATGAATTAAAACCATACAATGCAAACTTTGAGAACTGGATGAATTTCTACACCTTCTTGATTAATTTTGAACACAAAATATCCTGGAGATAAACGTTAGCCTCAATTATTCTTGGTGAAGTGAGTGTTTTTTCCTCTAGATTTTGGAATTAACTTTGGGTTCACTGTTTGTTTTCAATATTTTGGGTTCCCAGTTTTGTACTGTCCTCTTGATGAAACTTTTCTGTTGCGCTGTGGTAATTTGGTTTAGTTTAATCAGTAGCTGTCACCTTTTTCCAAGGGAAGGTCTCTTTGTTGGCTTTAAGAATGGCAACTGTCAAACAGTTGTCCTGATGTGACATTATTTCAAAACCTTAGCGGAAGCAGCAGCAGAGACGAATTTTTCTTTCTAAGTGGTGCTCACACACGGAAAGAGGCTAGGATTTACGTCTTCGCAAACATGTGCGTAGGAGACAGCATGGAGAGGTAGTTTGATGAGCTTAAATTGGGAAAATGGTCCCACACTGACGATGAGGCACTTTTCGTTGTGGTTTCCAGATATTGAGTGTTGGGAGTTTGTTGTTTCCCGCAGATATCAACGTGGAGAGTGGATGCATACAACAGATATGAAATTTCCTGGAACAAATTGGGTAAACTGGATAGTCTAGCTGACTCAGAATATTTGAGTATTAATACCACTGCATAATAACAGCTGACACCTGATATCATCGACAGGAACGTTAAC